ATTCGTTGAAATTATATGTTGTGTCAAATGTAAAAATGTGCATGATTTCTACACTTCCGCTTTTTAAATTAAAGCTTTTCTTTGTGTAAAATATATAAGAATTGATATATCAAAATACTTACAACGCCAATAGGAACAATTGCGATGTCTCCATTTGGCAAAGTTTCTTCAACGACAACGGTGGTGGCGACAGAGTGAATAGGTGGTGGTGTTGTTGAAATAAGAAAGGGTGATCTTGGTGGCTCTTCACTTTGAGTCCTATGGAGCGGCTCGTGTTCAGTTTCCTCTTTTGCTGGCGCACCAGCCTGGCCACCAAGCGGCGTTCCTAACTGTCCAGCTTCCGAGTAACTTTTGGTTAATTTTCTACCGTTGAAAACACCATTAGTTTGAGCACCTTGCGAAACCATCTTGACACGATGGATAGTTCTAGGACTGAGAGTCACCGGAAGTATACGACCGCGAAACATTGGCGGGAGCTCGGTTTGCGTCGCCTGAGTCTTCATAGCACCGCGTTTAGGTTGTTTCTCTGGAACAAATAAATTGCTGCAAATCGGCCTCGAATTGATTTGTAAACTGTAAAAAAGTTTATCGATTTATTATAGCAAACTTGAAAGAAATTGTTTTAAATAAACTTTAATTAATTTTAAATATTTGATACTTGATGAATATTTAAATAAAGAACAAATAATATTTTTGCGTTAAAATAATATATTTTCTCTCAAGTCAATTTATAAATAAATAATCTTTAAATGAATTTCTTATGCAAATTTTATAATGACAAACAATTTCAAATTTGTCAAAAAATTAAAAGAAGTTACTAGTATAAAATTTAGTTGTAATTTGTATTTTGTTTAATATTTTTTGACAATGCAGTATAATAATAGAAATTTATTTTGCAACTTCAAATGTATTCCTCCGCTCATTTTATTGTGAAGAATTTTATTACATTATAGTTCTTTAATTCATGTTAGTCCAGCGTGTAGTAGGCTTTGCCGTCACAAACCGACCGCGAGTAAATAGCTTTAACTACTTTCCCCACATAATCTATGATACTTGGCTTGGGATCAAAATAGCGGAACGATATGGATCATCCGTGCGCAGTTGCTGCACAGTATGAAACCTCAGATTAAATTTCAATAAAAATAATAATTTATTATCAACTATTAAGAACCAATATAAAAATGTTCTAGTTGTAATTTTATCAAAATTGAATAATGCTAAGTTAAAAAGTTAAAAGTTAAGTTAAAAAGTTAAAAAGTTAATTAATTTTAACTTTATTTAGTTACATTTTAGACTCTTAACTTTTTAACTTTATAGAATTATATTTTATCAGTATTTATTAACTACGGTTACTATTAACTTTTAATTTGATTTTTTAAAAGTTAACATCAGGGGTAGTTAACGTTATACGGATCCGACGTTACTCGGATTATATGTTTATATATTCGTGTTTATCGGAAATGTATTTTTCTAATTTTTTAAATAATTTCAAATATTTTATTTACATTTAGACTAGAGAATAGAGAGGTTTAAAGCGTGGTGAGCTAAAATCACGATTTTCTTGAAAGAATGCAGTTTACTGATTTATAGGGATTATTTTTTGGTGTCCCAGAATAATCATGCAAAAGATCATGCAACTGATTAAAATCTATGAAATATATATGTGAGTCTCTCCTTAATTAGTTATTAAAAAAGTTAATTTTTTTACTTAGTTTTTTAATTTAGTTAAAAAAAGTTAAAATCTCATGAAATAAAACAAATTTAATTTTTAACTTTTCAATTACTTTTTTTTCATTAACTTAACTTTTTTTAACTAAATTAATGTCACTATGGATTAACTTATATCTCAACTAAGTTAAATCTTCAAGGCTGTTAATTTTAATTTAACTTAGTTAAAAAAAAAAGTAAATTAATTTACGCAATCCTGAATTTTATGATCTTATATTTATAGTTTATGTTAAGAAACTATTCAATCGCGATATTAAAATACACGACTTACCAAGTACGAGAACACGTGGCTCAACGCCAGGATAAGGATGAGCTAAGGGTAAGGACGAAGGCAGTATAGTATTCTGCATAGTCGGCTGCGAGTCTATAAGACGTTCCGGATTATGTGGCCTCGGCGGGCTTATGTTCCTTGGGACTTCAAACGATGTAAGCGTGTGCGATCGTGCGAAGCTCACGTGCTTCGCTTTTGGAGCTTGCGATATTTGCATCGTTGTCACAGAGGCAGGAGGGGGAGGTACTATTGGTGGTAGTACTGGTCGTGGACCTTCCAACTTCATGGATTCTTCGTCCTCCGGGACCCAAGTGTACCTATCGCGATAAAAAGCTTAGACTGTCAAATTATAATACTATTAAACAATCATCTATATTGTCAATCGATATCGATCTCAATTATAATAATATCAGCAAAATTGGGGATGGATGCTCCTGTAAATGTCTAAAGCCCTTTACAATTTAATTTATTATCACTTCAAATTATTCATATTAATTCAATCTTTATTAAAATAAGTGCTGCTTTTTTATAAAATTTATATCACTGACATATGGTAATCATTAATTAAAATTTTGTAAATTATTTTAAAAGTTGAGTAAACACTGTTGAGAATTTTTCAATAAAATATGTATTTTCGTTAATAATGAAAATTAAGTGGGCTAAAATATCAAGCGAGTATATATAGGTCATACTGTTGCAAATATGATTCGATTACACGCGTTACGGATGTATCGTGAAGGAAACAGAATGACAACGTGTCATTCTATCGAAGCGCACATGACCATCTTACGTAAACACGTATATTTTATACATTAATCTTTAAAAAAATGACGTTATTGCACAAAGATAATTTTTACCGTGAAGTAATTACGTGAAAAAATAAATGCATAAACAGAAAAATTAGTAAACTTAAAATAAGATCGTTAGCACGAGATGCTATATTTACGTTATTCACATTATTATCTATTAGCTCCAGACTTTTTTCCGCATATTCTGCAGATACACAGCGATTTTGCTCAACCATAATTTTTTAATCGACCGCTTTCAGTTGACCTTAAAAAGCTGATAAAGGGGCGGTACAGCACTCATGCTAATCAGAAATAAACTCATCCCTAGACACTATGCTATGAGGAGACCACGGAAGGCTTTACATGTAACAGTCGATGGAACATCGTGCTATATAAATATCGTTTTTATAAAGTCTATCTGAAACCATAGAAGATACTCGGATCAATATAAGTACGAAGATAAATTTCTGAATATGACTTTTTTGCTATATCAATTGTGTAAAGAGGTGTCATCATTCTGTTAAATCTATATAATGTCAAATTTGACCCAATTTAAGTCGCCCGCTGCTTTTACTCAATATATCGTTATTTTATACTAAAACAACAGTGGATAAATTTGACACTATGTAGTGCCAATTTGATATTTTATAGTGTCAAATTAGCACTACACGATATCAAAGTTTAGTATAAAATAACGATACGTTGAGTAGAAGCAGTGGGGCTTAACTTAAATTAAGTTAAATTTTATATTATAGATTTAACAATGCAGATTTTTTGTAGATTCCTTAGCAAAAACTTACAATCGATTTTTCTAGTAAAATTGTATAATTTTCCTAACAACAATATAATATATATTTGTAATTTTGAGATTTCCAACTTTTTCGTCTGTATTGTAGATAAAAGAACATTTCTTCCCCTTAGATTTCAATTTCGTTTCCTTTGCACGTTCACCATTTGCACTGCGACACGCCTTTCGATCAATTACGTTACTAAAGTCTTTACCGATAAATCGATTAGTAGATATACATTCTAAACGCGTCTCGACGGAGTAATTTGCCCCAAATATCCCAAGCACTCGATTGCCAAATAGTAGTCGAAGGTAATATCGCTTTTCGCAGGTGTCAATCTCACGTATGCAGGTATACTGTTGTGTTGCGCATACGATGTAGTAATTACGTAATTGGAATATGAAACCGAACAGGCTACATTTGATTTAAAAAGAAAAAAATATATATATTATATATATATATATGTTTATACGTAAATATCTCACGTATATCACGTCCATTAATATAATTGTAAATTTGCGGAAGTACTTTTTCATCATCAGCGGAGAATTGCATATATCGCAATATTTGGAAATTAATAAATATACTGCCATCAGCTTTTCGGAGCTCTTAAACGTTTGAATTTCTCGACTTGTCGACGCTGATGGATTAGGACCATTTTTCGCGTTTAGAATTCCGACAGAAAAAGTCCATTACCGCGAGAGATCGATCTTGTCTTCTCACTCACCTCTTCGGATCGGGTACGGTGCAAAACGATCTTGGGCGCCGTCTAAAGTAGGAACTCTCGATCCAGTCCGCCTCGTCCTCAAGGTCGTACCGCGATAGACCGCGGGAATAGGTCGGATAAGGCTGACGGTACATAATTTGGAGGGGCCTTCGGGGATAGGGCGCGTCGCAGAGGTTCTCGTCGCTGGGAACGCTACGCACGCACGCCGACAGGATGGAATTCCTGGTGGAGCTGCACGGCGACGGTCCCCTCGTGGACAGGCATCCGAAGAAACCGCCGCCGGACTTCTCGACGGCGTCCAGCTGCCGGCTGGTGATGCAGTACTGCTCTTTGATGTCCTCGCGCGAGTACAACGGCGTCGCGCGACGATCCCAGGAGTCCATAACACCGCCAGGACCGCCGAAGCCGCTGTGCAGGTCTACCTGGGTCGAGACGTCCACCTGTCGCAAACAGGCACGAATTGAATTCCCGGTAACCCAAACCGGAGAACAATTCCGGCGAGTTACGGACGTTGATTGACAAACGGAACGATCTACGCGGATGCGATAGGAGTATGGTATTTCAAAGGAATCCCTGCGCGAGACTGATTTGTGTATTGATAACTGACAGGCGATTTTGACGGCAGCATTTTCTGATGCTTTAATATATATAATCTTGTGTTCGAAATTGATAATAGGAGTTTATTTTTCAAAAATTCAAATGAAAGAGCGAACGTAACTGAGATAACGCGAGGGAAGAAAAGTACCTGAAAACTAATTACTGTCCAATAATCCAGGAAACGAGAAAACTCTCTAAATGAAATTGCTGCAAGAACATGTACGTAGACTTGTCATTTTTATTTGCGTTACTTTTTTTAGTTAGAATTACATTAGAAAGTTTTCACATTTTCCCGCCCTGACTGAATTATCAATTCCTTACTTCACGTAGCGGTCTGGTTCAACTTACTATTATTTTTTTTTACCTTTCGCTACGAAGATCTATTTGCAATATTGCGAATTAAAATTCAATTTGTACAGGATAGTAATTATAGGTATAATTTCCGATCAAGACAAGATCTAAAACATTTATTGGCAATATTAAATTTCCGGTAAATTTCCTTGCTAGAAATCTGATATTCAAGACTGAAAATACCGAATTAAAAATATTTCTTGTTATGAATGTTGTGAAATATGAAATCACACTTTAAAAAAAATAAAAAAACAAAACGTTCTCGTACAGGGCGGTATTGTCTTCCGCAGGGCAGTTAAAAATTGTATCGCTTTTCGCGCGCGCGCGCGATCGAGTACTGTAAACTGTTTCATTCATTGAAGTTCTGTAGCTATACACGGCTCATTGTACCAAACTACGTTATCGGAAATCGCAATAGTCGTTGCATTAAACTTCTGTAATTTCCCGGACTTCATTACCGTTCTTGCATTATTCCTTTCCTAAGCATGGAATTCCGCTATCTTCTGCCCGCGCCATAGTGATGGCATTGTAGTCTAATGTCTATCGTATTATCAGTTTCCGGTAACAAGATTCATTCGGCTTATTCTCCGTTTAGTAGAGATCAACGAGACGGACGAGGGAAACGTTTCAGCCGTCGTCAACGAAGAGCGTTTCTCTCGAGGAGATTGACCTACATTCGGTCCCAGGAAACGGATTTTGAAGCGCGAGCAATGTCCTCATTCTCCAAGGATGAGAAGATTAGAAAATAATATTATTATTTACCTAACCCAATGAAAAAGCTTGTCATTACAGTATTAATTTCTTTTTTTAATTAATTAAAAATATTTATGAACAAAATAATATATATAAAACAAAAATTGTTGTTGATTTAAAAATCATAAATATAGTTAAACAAAAAATGTAAGTAAGTATATAAGAACAATAAAGATATAATATACTTGTATAGTAGCGAAAGAAAATAGTTAACTGCGCATAGAAGAAAGTACAAAATATTTTTCAGAAACTTTCTTCCGTTAAAGTTATAATTAAAAAGAATATACATTATTTTAGTAAATTTATTTATTAATTAGTAAAATATGTCAAAAGTAACAAGCAATAAATAAGTTCAAGTTTATCTTGTGAACGATTGACGAGATCGATCTGATTACAACGCGGTAAACGCGGTAAATAAATTTCATTTATTAAAAGACGCTGCAACTTTTCTCTTTTTATAATACAGATGCGGAAAGAGATATAAAATAAAAGTTACGTAAAATAAGAATTTTGTTTGATTTAGTAGGTGGTATCGATGTTGCGTTATTTAAAATTTATTTTATATAGATACGAATGTAACGTTATACTATGGTCATAAAGCTGTTGTATACGTTGCAATAAATCCAATTCTAAATATTTTGTTTTTCTGTATGAATAACGATTCCACAAGGCATAAATCAAAAATTCAAAGAAAACAAACCGCGATTTTAGTTCAAGTAAAATTGAAGCTTTCGGCAAGACTATGTCCGTTCGTTTATATTTATTTCAGTTTATTTATTTCTTATTATTTATAATACGCGTTTCATTTCTAGAAGAAATAAATAAAAGTGTAGAAGTGCCGTGAATGTGGGAAACGCGGTTGTTGGTTTGGAAAATAGCCGTACAGCGCAACTGACCCAATGCTCCGGCAGCTGGATATACATTCGCGTTCTTTCTACGCATAAACGTGTCTCATCATTGTAATTGGAATCTCGATGGTACCTGAGGATAATAAACGGGTGTCGTTCTGCCGACAGCGTTGGCATCTCCTCGCATAGCAGGCGGCATGCTCGCGGATGCTGTGGGCAGATTCCTCGGGTTCATGGCAATTTCGGGACCGGGATGGATCCTCCTGACACCCGCCGGACCACCGGCGGGTGCCACGCTCGGTGCCTTCACCATCCTCGGCCGCACCCCGCGCGCTCACGCCGAATGGCTACGAAAACGGCTGCGAACGCACGCACACCAGCTGGCCTATCGATCTACCCGCTTTTTCCCTCTCGAACGAGAGTAATTGTCCTACTCTCGGAAGTGAACCGAGAGATTCCCGCGAGCGAGCCAGCTTCCTCCGTAGACTATCTCGTCGGCGCGCTTCGCGCCCGCGGGACCTTCATGGTCGCACGAGCGGGATGACGAGTCCACCCTGACTGTGCCCTTACGCGACACTCGCGTCTCGACGGATTCGCGGTAATCTGTCTCGTCGGCGGACTCCTGGCGATTGATACGTGCCGCGGAGGACTCGACAGCGACGAGTGCGAAGGTGGCGATGGTGACGGCCACCACGACGACGTTGTGGCATACGTCGGACCACGACCGAAGCGACGCGTCTCGGTGGTCCTCGCGAGAACGCGAGGGATGACGAGCTCCCCTATGGGTCGGAAGAGACGCGACCGGAGGGTGCGCGTGCTGGTGCAAGGAAGACAGCGTGATACGAGGAGGGTGGATACGGCAGAGACAGGGTGGAAGAAGCAGCGACGTGATAGAGGGGGATGAATGGAGGGAGTGGAAGCGTGGGAGAAATTGAAACGGGGGGAGGAAAATCATAGCGGATGTTCGCGGTAAAAAAGGGATGACGATGACGGGGAGGGGGGGGGGAGGCGGGTAGTTGACGCGGTGGGGATATTTGTAACCTTCGTTACTCTCGACTCGTGTATTCGCTTTGTGAGCTGCACGTTTTCCTCGCTATCTGGCGTATTAATACCATGATATTTATCCGTATCTCGTACGTTTAATGCCGATGGGGTGAACGTCGTTCATAAATAGTTCTTTTCCGATTATTATCATATGGCGGCGAACTCTGTCGAACTGACTAATGACAATCTCAACGCTTTTCTACTGACAATTTTATAAGAAGATCTTATAATTAATTCTCTTCGAAATCAGCAAAACATTAGTCAAAGTGGAGAAGCGTTTGTTATCCGAGTGCTATCCGTTCGTGTTATCCGTTGCGCTGTGAAATGATAAAATGATCAAATTACTTATGTCCGTGTTCAATTAAAACATTCATAATTACATAATAATTCATGTACAATTATATAATATTTATATTCAAATTATACATATTTACGTTTAATACAGATATAATTATATTATATAATTATATTTCTTATAAATATATAATTATAGTATACATTGTATTTATATTGAAAGTTTTGTAATTATAAAATCACCTATAATTTTTTCTTATTTTTTTATACTATGAATTGACCTATATATATATATATATAGATATCTTTAATCATCCGAAACGCCTAGTTTGTATCACAGAATGTTCCGATATTAAAACATCATTGGTAGCAAATAATTAGGTGAATAGTAATCGGGCTAATAGCATTGTCGCTGAATCAAAGGTAAACCAGGAAATGAAGGCGAGAATCGTTCCGTTGCGGGCACGTGTGCATATGGGACAATGGCATTAGCTGGGAGGAAAGATAAAAAAAAAAGCGACATGTTAAACATACTGTGATAGAACTGACACGTTGCGTCGATGAATGAGGAGACCGGGGGGGAAAGCGGGTGGCGGTGGTAAGAGCAGTAGAGGGAGCGAGATAAACGAGATGACACAGTTGCAATATTGAAAAGACAAGCCGGACGCGTGTTGGCACGGCGGAATGAAACAAATATGACGTCATAGACGAGCGTCGTCCTTAAAGCTGCGACGCCTACGTTTTGTGGCGTACGTGCGCGTAGAAGTACCGACGCCTACGTTTATGGGATGAGCGTAGAAGAGAAGGAGAAAAGGGGTGAGAAGGAGAAACGAGAGAAAGAGGGAGAGAGAGCATGAGATTAAGAAGGGGGAAGAGGAGCAGAGTACAAGACTGGCCACGTTGAGACCAGATGGAGCTCTTGCACATCCTTCCGCCGTCACCCTGTGTTTGTTGCGCGACCGGAACTACCCTCTGAAGTTCAAGTGACTAAGTATTTTAGTCGATATAATTTTAATCACGTAGATGATAGAATTTTAATCCTATTATCTTTTTTGTTAAGTTACTGATTTGTTTGTTTGCCTTATTTTTGTAATATATATATGTATGCGTATATTTTAATATTACTTTAATTTAAAGTTAATTCGTGTAATTTATTAATGTTAGGAACTTTATATTTGTACCCAGTTAATGATACTGTTTTCAAATTTGTTAATCTTATGGATCAAAAGTCTCATTTGCCAGAATTGCTTTCAAAGGTAAAATTTGTGTATATATAATTATGAATATATTTATATTATTATATAT